TTACTGTATCAAATAACATAAAAACTGACCTTTGGTCTTGGCTGTGTTTTAGTAGACAAGTATTTTGTAAAACAGTAACATTTCAATTATTATATATTTTGAAATAAGTTCTTAAACTTATTTTTCTTAAAACATAGAACAGTAACTAAAGAAGTAAAGCAAACAATTATATCTTCTAGTTACAACCTTTGTACTTGGTTGCTGCTTTTACTAAGCTTTTAATAAATTTGCATGTGGAGGATATGAAACAAAATATTTTTTTTTAGGTTTTATATATACATTTGAATAATTCAGAAATCATAAATTACTACATCAATACCATAGAATTCCACTATAATTTATTAAGCTTAATAACTAAGATGTATTTTAGTCTAAAAAAAATATGAAATTTCGAGCAGACTAAAGACATGCCCTACTTCGTTGAAATATTGGTTAAAAAGAAAGAAATGGCACCAAGATTGTTAAAATGGCTGAGAGAGTCACTAGAGGGACATTCTGAGCTTCTGATTGGTTATTCATGTCATGTATAGATGTAAGTGTATATAAGGGAGCGTTTCCAAAAATGGAAAGAGGTGGGTAGGGTGCCACTGTGTTTGATTTATTACAATATCTTAGCAAGTTAAAAAGATAAGAGGCTTTATTTTATGTTCTAGCTTGTCAGTATTGGTAATTTGAGTTTCTAATTCGTATAAAACTACAGACTTTGTATTTTGACTTCACAAAAATCTGATTTGAATCAGTGCTGCATTCAACATACCATGTGACACACAAAAAAGTGATGTTTATCTGTGTTTATTTTATATTTTCTAATAAATCACGAAATTAAGTAATGTATAGTTCTAAAATTTGAATTATAATCTATAGTTTGATACCAAACTTATTGACAGAGTAGTTAAATAAAATTTTGAATAGTTGAGGTTGTCAGCGATCATATTCGTAGTGAGATGGATACATATATTTGGTTCGATGGTATTCCTCCAGGGAGCTCTGATTCTGCAAGTGATGGCAATCCTGGACATTCTGGAAAGAATTTCAATTCACTTTTTATTTTTTGTGTGTGTGCTTTCTTTTATTCTGTTGGCTTCTCAGTCCCCCTGTGGGACAGTGATAAGTTTATGGATTTACAGTGCTGAAGTCCAGGGTTCGATTACCTATAGTGGACATAGCAGGTGGCCCAATGTTGTTTTACTCTAACAAAACATACTTACCTGACAAAATGTTGTTCCAAACAACAGTTAACAGAACAGTCTTTAAAAGAAATAAAAAAAGGAGTTATCTTTGGGATAAACTGCCCGTGATTTGTTTTCTTCAGGTGGTCCATCGATAGTGTGATGTTTTGGGTCTTTCTCCAGTTGCTTTTCTGCGTGCACCTCACTTGATGGCTGTAAGGTCTGAGAGCAAATATTTAGTTTCTCTCCATCCATGGACACTGTCTTTCATGCAGGGAGGTTTACTGCTCAGTTACATGATGGGACTACTATGCCTTATCTGCCATGGATGTCAGAACTATGTGATTTAGCATTCTACTGCCAGGTGGAAGTATTTTCCAACTCTCAAATAATACATCTGCTCCTCGAAATTAGGGGTTCTGTGGTGGAGCTTGTAGTTAACCTGCATAGATCAGTGTACCTTGATGGGAAAGCAGTAAGTTTATGGACTTACAACTCCAAATTCCAATGTTTCCTAACACTAAACTTTGTTGGAAGACTCTTAGGATCATCAACTTCTTTGATGATGAGCTGAAGCCATTGTTAACATGCACATTGGTTCGATTGTCAGCTTCTACATTCATCCCTATTGTCGTTGGCATCTCGACTTTACCCAACCTGTAGGGTTTCAATCTTCCACATATCCTAGGATTTCAGAATGTAATTCTATGGCCATCAGAGTTTGGTTTGTCTGGGGGTAGAGTGAGAGAGTTGTGCTAATTCTTCTGGGGTTTTATTCCCATTGGTTGTTGGGCCTAAGAAGACAGGAGATTGGTGTCCAGCCATCGAACTTTCTTGTCTATATCAATGCTTAGATTCTCCAAGGTTCACAAGTGACCCATTTCTCAATCAGAGTTGGCATTTCTTTACTAGGATTGTGGATGTCCAAGTTTGATGTAGTCGGCTCCTATCTGCACATTGCCATAGTGGTGGCATCCCGCCACTATCGGCATTTCTTTTAGCACTAGGGTCAGATACTACAGTTTGGGGTTTTTACCTTCAGACTAGCATCGGCACCATATGGATTCTGCTGAATTATTCAAGCTTTTTCTCGTCACCTCCATTTCCTAGCCCTGTGCACACACCATTCAGTGGACAACTGGTTACTGCTGGCACCATCTCATCCGTTGTTAAAATGTTGCATCCAGATTCTACTTTCAAAAACAACCAAGGCAAACTTCATTCTCAGAGCTGAGACATCTAAATCTTGATCTAATTCAATATGTTGTCAGTTTGAGTATATTTTTCATGAAATGGTACTGCCTCCTTTTACCCGAAGCTATCTCGACCTTGATTTGCCCTCTAAGTATTGCTAAAATAATTTTTCACGTCAGTGCACTAATCTTTTATACTCCTTCATTTTTGCACCATTGTAGCAACATGTACTGATCATGTGACTACCCTCCACCAATCATACTGTGCCTCCTATACTAATGCAGGCAGCTCCCTCTGCCATTGCAGTACAATCCTCATTTTCCAATTGGCATTCTAGTATATAGACATGTATTTTAACTCATTCCCCATGTGACTACAAGATTTTGAATGTGTTTGATTACAACTTTATATCAGTTTCAACTTCTTGTGTTTGATTTCCATTGTTTCTATTCATTTGTTTCAGAAATATTTATGTTTCTGAATTCTACTTTGTTCATATGAGTTTGAATTTAATAAGGCGGATGTTGAAATTCCCGTCATAAGTAGTATACACGCCCCCAGGTCCTAGGGTCAATGATGTCTGCTGGGGAAGCACAGGCTTTAGTTTGTGCGGAGTTCATGTCTTACAATCGGTCAATGATTATTCTTTTCACGTTACGAGTTTGTTAAGAGGAATATAAATACTGTGTGGAAATTGTCACCTTCCACCTGTTACCATGCCTGCACATGGTTAGGTGTTGTTCTTTTCCCAGGATATCTGTTGTAAGTTTTCAGTGTGTATTTCTCACTTCTTGTCAATATACCCATGTTCAGTGACTTTACGTGAGCTTGTGTGAATGGACCTAATTTCTGCTCTCAACCATTTAGGTCATTTATATCTTCTCTACTCAGTGTTAGATTTTATACTTCTTTTACCATCTAGGTTAATTTAGTTTAAACTTGTGTTTGGAGTTTTATTATTCCATTTTCTTTATTACTGGTCACATCTCATTTGGGCTGATACTAGAGTTGAACTTTGTTTTTGTTTTATAGATTCTTTGGGTGGATTTATTTTGCCCAGTAACGAACAAAGTAAGACACATAAGGCAGAATTGAATAGATAGACATCAGGACATGTAATGTAGATTCCAGTCGTGTACAACAGACAGTACGTTCTCCCACAAAAAGGAACATCAGAAGTACAAAACCACAAAAGGAACTTAGAAAATAAATGCCCCTTAAATATCTAACATGAGCATACCTGTTCCAGAAGTAGTGTTATACTCCACAGGTGTGCCTCTTTTTATAATTGTGGCATACCTCTTCTTTCACAGCAAGTTATTCTCCACCTGTTTGATGATTATTTTTGCACGTTCACTGGCCCCCTCCTCCTTTCCAATGTGGGATTATAGCTCTGGGTGACATAAGGCAGTACCTATTGGAAATACATTTTCAGTGTCAGAAAATGTTAACTTCCGAAATGGTACTTACCTCCTCTCACCCACTTCCCGTCCTTCCTCCCCACTGATTTGCCAGTGTTTCTGGCTTGGATCTGCCAGTTCTCAAAATTATAATGTTTATTTTCAGT